AGTATTAAATTTTATCCATTCTAACACATGACAGTGATTTAAACCACTGTATCTATGGCTGAGGGTTTAGGATTGTTATTGAAACCAAAGGTATTGCTTTACATGTATGCCAGAAAGTTCCTTTTTGGTCCCATCAGATTGATTCCCTGGTTACTCCTCTTTCTGTCAGTTTGCCTCATGTGCACAACACTCCCTGCAAAGCTAAACTATAAGGTTACAGCAGCTCATAAACTACAAGGAGCATTAATATTACAACCTCAGTCAATACTAATACAGGTTTGCAGCTTTGTCATTCTTTTCTATTCTAGGATAATGTATTGAACAGCAAATGGTGAAATGGATAAATCTTGGTACATTTCTTTATAAACTAACTGTGCTTTAAACTTCACCACAATCTTATCTCTGATGAACCTGCTGTGATTGTCGTTTTGATGCTAATAAAACAAGACTCCCAATCAATCTTAAAGGCCTTCACAGAACATCTACATGTATAGTGGGATAAATTGATACATAGGTAATCTCAATGTCTACTTTGGAAACATATGAAGGGAGTAGAGAGCAAGCAAATTTGTCTTATATTAAGGACAAGTTTGCCTTTTTTATCCACACGTGTAACAAATTTTAAAATACATTGAGGTTTTTGGCTGTAACCTGTATAAATTCAAAAAGGTTTAAGCAATGTGAATACTTTTCCAATGTGTTAAAAAGTGCATTCAGCATTTGAACCTGTGCATTCTGGCTGTGTGCACAAGAACAAAAGTGAAACTTGCTGCTCTCGTTAATTCAAGTGCATTTGTCCCATTTCATGCCAAAGTGTCTGCTTTACTGGGAGTCTTTGATCCCACTGTGACTAAGGCAGCACGACATAAAAGGGTAGAAATTAGCTTCTTTTTCTTTGAATGCTAATTTATTAATTCTAAGAATAATGTTAAAAGTTCATTCAAACACTTAAGTTCTTTAAGGTGAAGAAGAAAACATTTTCATTCAAGAGATTTGGTGTTATTCTTATTAACAAGATCTTCACACATCTGACAACAATAAAGTTTTGCTACCTGAAGCGAAACTGAACTCTAAAGATTAACTAACAATCACTAAATCTTAATGCTTAAATTTACTTGTGATGGGGTTTGTCTCGACTCCTATTACTATTTAAAGCCCTGAAATCCTCATTAAGAAGCCAGACATTCAAGATTTCAAATGAACCCTCACTCGCAATTTTATTCACCCCATTGTCCCACTTAGTAGGGTGCCCATCTTGCGAACTGCAGCTTACTTCTATCAAACTGAGATACTTTTGGATTAGTTGATAGGAGCTTAGGGCTGATCAACTAACAGAATATTGACCATAGTGTGCTTCTTAACAGGAAGTTGCACGATTGTTAGCTAAGAATAAGTAGAAGGCTTTAGGACGCCTACCCAACGAAGATCACGGATACTAATGTAGAAGCTAAATGTTGCCCACACAATCACTTGAAGTAAGAATCAACAACTTTTTCTCTTTTCTGACCAAGAGTCTCAACTGTTGTTGAAGAATAACACAGTATTACATAAGTGGACAGTGCCCCAGACAATTTAAGGATCAGTCTTATTCTACAAGGACAGTCGATCACAGAATATCACTGTTTTCACTGAAGCCCGGTTCAGTACATTTCAACTTTATAAATGCAAGACAGAATCCCCAGCTGCTCCCAGTGAAACTGGATTACTGTTTCTTGTATATGGATTATTGTATAAATAAATTAAGAGATGGGCCTACAGTAACTAATGCTTTGGAATGTGCAAGAAACAAGAAGAGCACTGGGTTGATTATGGATTGAGGCACACACGTTGTTTTGATATTGTTGTGAGGAAGCATGGTGGACTGGACCCAGGCTTCACTGTAGGAGGTCTCGTTCGCTTTTAAATCTCAGACTGTATCAAAATAAAATAACTTTTTGTTAGTTTTCACCTGGTGTTTGTTGTGGCTCTTGCTCAGATATATTTTTCAAAATCAATACATTTTTAGGACATTAAAAACTAGAAACTCTGATGCTGCATCTTCAATCTTCTCAAATATATTTATATATCACAGACATATTTATATATCTGTTATTTTACAGGGGATTCAGAATGACAAATCAACACAAAATGGCGCATAGCTGTGAAGTGAGCAAATTTGTTTGAAATCTTTTACATATAGAAATCTGACTTGAGGGGCTGGCAATTATTTATCTCTCTTTAATCTGATTATTTGCAGTCAATTGTCTTCAGAATTTAACTATGGAGTAAGCAGGGTCCACCAGCATGTAAATGAATCTCTGGATGAATGCCAATGTTTTGTGAAGGCTTTGGAAATTCCTTCGAGAACAAAGTTGAACAAAAGTCAGAAGACCGAGACGCAAGATTTGAACATGTCAATGAACACTCTTCAATCAAATAGGAGGAGTACATAACAAATTGACATATTTTAAAGGGTGAAAATTGTGCAACATGTTTTAGGTTTATATTATGTTATAATGTTATACCCTCAGCAAAAACATACCAGGGGTGTTAATGTGATTCATTCATGCATTTAAAGAAAAATATTGTAGATCTCCCATGGCAGCCATTTGAGGGTGCCGAGGCGCTTGCTCATTCAATGCGCCGCCTGTTTAACCAAAGCACCGCATTAGCGCTTCAGTATCCAACCGAGCTCTTGACCCACAGAGCTCTACCAGACTAGAGGCAGCAACAATTATCTAACAGCTGGTAGGACTGCACATTTGCTGAGCTCTTCACAGAAAAAAACAATGTTTCTAAGAACAACTGTAAACGGCATCATGGAGTGTTGTGATGATGTACTGAAGGGGAAGTGTCAGAAACTGAATTAACTTCTTGTGTTTATAATGTAAAGCACTTTGAAATGCCTTGTAGCTGAAATGTGCTATACAAATAAAATTTGATTGATTGATTGATTGATTTTCTCTTTTAGTCACAGTTGTTCATCTAAACTAGTGGTGCCAAAAGTCAATCTTCAAGGGCCGGCATCCTGCATGTTTTAGTTCTCTCCCTAGTTTAACGCACATGGATCAAATGATTGTTCATTAGATGGCCTAAGAAGAACATTGACATGCTGAAAAGGTTGTTACTACCACCAGGGAGAGAACAAAAACATGCAAGATGCTAGCCCTCGAGGACCGACTTGGGCACCCCTGTTCTAAACCAATATGCCTGGCAAGGGGAACATTAATCAGAGAAAGATCTAAGAACCCCATGGTAACTCTGGATGTGCTGCAGAGATCTATAATTCAGGTGAGAGACAATACAAATGCTGTTGAAAGAAAGTCTGATGAATACCTCTTTGGCACAAGACATGTAGGGAGGGGACAGATAAATTGTGTGAAAAGCTGTCCTGGTCAGATGAGACCAAAAAGAAACTAATAAACTAAAATGTTCCTGTATGCAAATGTTAAGTGTGGTGAAGCAAAATTGGACAGCCTGGCTAGTCCAGTGAAACTTAACTTATGCATGGAATGTCGTAAGCTTTGAAATGGAGGCTGGGCAGCAGCACTGCTAGCAGAACAAGGTTTACAGCTCATCTGACCATCAGAATCCAGCTGAAGGTGCTAGAGAGATTACAGCTATGCAAAGCCAAGGATTTGTTGTGACATACCTTGATACTATGACAAATTTCTAATTAATGTAATACACTAACGGGCATTATCATCAACCATAAGTAAGTACAACAATTTGTTGTATTATTATATTGCCCAATTGTAAATGGCTACTTGTATAGCACTTTGTCAAATTCAAATTCATTCATGTATCATTAATACATACTTTCACACACCAATCATGATAAGGTAATGGATCATAGCCACAGGCACCTCAACATTACAGATTCAATGCAGAATGGTGGACTGACATTACTAATGACATCTTCAGGATGCGGAATGCATATATATTTATAAAAATGACAATACTTACAATATATTCAAAATCAGAAGACAAACTTGCTTCTAGACAGCATATACAGTATGTCAGACATTTGGTTTCACAGCCTGTTTAATTGCCACCAAGAGGAGTTTGTAAAGGATTTTGTGTCACTAACAATAAGTCATCAGCTGAGTAGGGGTTTGTCACAATCATTTTTAATGAGACTGGCAGTCATCTATGTCTCTCTGTCGGTGAGTGCCTCCACTGATTGGCCTCTGATGAAGCAGCAGGGCAGTAGGTTGGCACTGAAAATGTGATTTCTAGTTCTTTGGTGTGATACTGATCGGTCTAATGTCTAAAACACTACATCGCCACATTCAGATTGAAACAGAGATTGAGGTTTAAGGAGGAATAGAAGGAATATTAACAATAAGATGAAAAAAAACTTTTTTGTCCATAGAAATGGAAATTTTACCTGCATAAAGTAGATGCCTCTCATAAAAACACCACATATTACACATCATAAAAATGTTAGGTGGTCTGCGCCAATGTTATCCTCATTTCCCAGTTTCCTATAATTCAATGCTGATTTTAAGTGTGTGTGTTTAGAAGAAAAGAAGTTTGAAGCGTTGAAAGATTGCAAGAATTATGCCCTCTTAATCACATTCTTTTTGTTGCACATTATTAACCATTTAAACAATTTTTTATCTATCACCGTTTGAAAATTTAACAAGCGGAAAAGTTTTAAAAGTCGGTTCTCAAACAAAGAGAAAAACAAACAACTATTTACAGTTGAAAGACAGATAGGCTTAAACAAAGGCTTATGATTTATTTGAACATCTTCCAAATGCCATGCCAAAGTTTTCTACATGAAAAGCTTTCATTTGACAACACATTACCATTCTGCTTTGTTTTCTGTTCCTTTTGTTTAAGCAAAGAAGATTAAGCCAATTTTCAGAACTACATCTAAAATGAAAAGTGCTAAATCCTTCTGCTGCTATACTTTTTCCAAATTTAAATGCTACATTTTCGTCCTTTTTAAACTCTGAAGAATTTAAACATATTGTTTCTCTTGCTAGATTGAAAATCAAAAATACTGTACTCACCACAGTCCTCAAGTCATACTCCTTCACCAAATCCAGGGAGTTTTTATAGCAGGAGGTAAGATCTGTTATCTCTTTATCGCCAACATGACCTCTAGCCACTGGACCTACAGTGTGGATCACATCTGTTGGAGGAAGAGCAAATATTTAGCCAACACCAATCATAAAAGAAAAGTTGGAAGTATTTTGTGTGACAGTAGAATTTACAACCAAAGCCATTCTTTCAACAAATCATAACTCATACTGGATATGATCTGACTGAGTTTGATCCATTTTGGGAAGAGGAATAGGCAAAAGATTTCATCCTTTAAATGTGCAAAATAGTAGAGACATCCCCAAAAGACTTCAGTTGTAATCAAGTTTGTGTTGTCTGTTATTTAAAATTCCAATAAAATAACACTGTGATTTGTGGTTATAAAAATGGGTATTAAGTGTTTTTGCAAACTCCTACATATCAGCTGAACAGCTGAACTTCAGGTTTAAGAATCTATAAGATCATCAAAATCAATTATAAGATAATAAAGTTTGTCCTTGCAATGAGACAATCACTCATGTAGACAATTTAAGCAACTCTGGTTCAAAATAATTCATTAATTGAGATACCTTGATAGGAAATCAATTGCATATTTTTTCATGCCATCTTCTCAATTATTGATGTCTCCACATACTCTTTTCCCCTCACAAAGTAATATCTTCACCTGTCAGTCACTAGCTATATTTCTGGCTTGGCCGGTTTGAGGAATGCAGCTTCTTAATTGACTCATAGGAGTGATGACAAGAAAATAAGACAGTTGAAACACTGACTTAACAGAAAAGTAACCTTCTGCATTCTGCCTTGCAATGTTGGCATCGTAAGTGTCATACAGGTTGGCTCAATATCAATAAAAAAATAATGTATTCTGCAACAAGCGTAACTCACAATAGAACATTACCCCACCAAAATTACAACACAACTCAAACTCCCATTTGGCACCCATATGTTGCAGTATGGTCTCTACAAACTGCTGTTTCTTATGCCCAAAGTTTTTGGGTCTGAAAAGATTAAATCTGCAGAAGGCACTCAAAGTCAACAATTTGATTCTGAACCATAATTTATGTGTCTGTAATTTTGTGTATTATCCATCTTAGTCAGAAGGGGATTTTGTTTCCAAATAAAAAACAGCATCTAACTTAACTATCTGATAAATCTCACCACATGTTGATTTAAATATAGATCAACTCTAGCCTATACATTTGCATTTTAATGCATCAAGCTGTTCTGTTTTTGCTACTGCAATATTTAATGCAACAGAATTTAGATCTGGTTCAGGTGAGGTTATTCATGGCAAGCCCTGCCATCTTACATGTCTCACATGTCCTTATACATTAACTTACCCATTTATTTTTTATGTAAAACACAAACTGTTTTTACTGCCAGTGTAAGCAAATGTAAAGCGTCTCTCACCATTTTGAATAACACCAAAGACTACACATTATATTCAGCTCTTTTTATGTTTTCTAGGGGCCATGAGAACAAAATGCAGGGACTGTTGTGTTGCTTTCAGGGTAAGATTTTGTTTCGGCAACAGGTAAAACAACAAGAAGGGCCTGAGGCATTTCAAGATGAGTCATTACAGGAAGGAAGCCGTCTGTTTGATTTTCTTTTCTTTTTTTTTCCCACAATAGCAGGTGGAAAACTGGCACAACATTGTTATAATGGGACAAGTGGTAAGTTGTTTTTCCTGCATATTTCATGTACTTTTACACCACAAAAAAGGCAATATGCCAATTAGAGAGTGGACAAGTGCCAATAAAACAGAGTACCAGTGAATTCATAAAAATTTAAACACCTCACCAGGTTGGAAAACTCCTTTTGGTTGTTTTTTTAAAGCAATTTCATTTTAAATAAATATTTATACAGCCTTGTATCAAGGGAGGGATTCCAAAGAAGGGACAGCCAGTCAACTAGTACTGTGAAAGGTTCTTCAGGATCTATGTAAAAATCCAGAACAAATTACATTCCAACCTGTAGTAAAAAATTGATAAAACAAAAATATTTGTCATTCACAGAAATAAAAACAAGCAAACAAACAAAAACAAGACTATTTCATATCTTTAATGGTCAATGCTCTATTGAAAAAATATTAAATACAATATTGATGAGCACCTAAATTTGATGACAATTTCCTTGGTAGATCTCCTAAATCAAAACCATATTTTGTCAAAAAAGTCAAAGGATATTGGATGTATTTGTTATTAAACACATCCAATGTCTGATTCACATGATAGCGTCATGTCACAATGTTGGTATTGTGTAGTTCTGGTTATCACTGGTTATGAAACATGCATATTAGGTTAATTTATGATTTTAAACTGGCTGTAGGAGTGGGTGTGTGACTGCATCTCTTGTGTGTCCATGTTATAAACTGGTGGTCTGTTCAGGGTTACCCCTGCCTTTAGCTCAGGGACAGCTGGGATAGGCCCCAACCTCCCTCATGTCCCTGAACATCCAGCTTACCTGGAAAATAAATGAATATAATTACCCAACTTCCTCATATTTATTTCCACCACAAATGAGCCCCTCCCAGCATTTAAAAAATAGCTGATGGCTGATATTTCTATATTTCTGATGGTCATGTAAAATACAATTCAGTCTATTTAGTATTAGGAATATTAGGAATTAGAAAGGTGAAGATCTAATTTGTTCAGTTTGTCTGTGCAGTACACCTGTAAACTTACACATTTTCTTTATTATGATGTCAAAACAAAACCCCAAGAACTGCTCAAGCAAATTCTAGCATGACAAAATATGACATAAGGTTAAACTAATTCAGCATCCAGCTTCTAAATGTCAAATGCTCCAGTTCATGTTAAGTGTTTGCTGGCATTTAGCAGCTGAACTGTAAAGAGGATTATGAATATCAAATGTGGAATACTACTACATTCTTAACCGTAAAAGGCTAGGACAAGAAGGAGGATATATATATAATTCAAAATGATAGAGACATCCCCAGTGGAAAGTGATTTTCTACTTGGACAGGACAGACTGGACACTGAATGACCCCTTAATATACCAACTGCCGAACACATGAGAACATCTTAGGCAAGCCTACTAAAATATTCCTCCGCTCCTCCCAGAGCGGAGGAATAACTACCAAGGGGACATGCTCACTTCAAAGACGCCACTTCCTTCGCAGCTAAAAAATCTTTTGAAATATCTAGACTTCATTTAGAAGTGAAGCAGTGTGCTATTTCAGGGACTGAATGAACACTTCAGAGTCTTATCAATCTTTCATTTTTACTTGCCGTTTCTGCCTTTGAGTCTGTGTTACCATTTCTCATCATAACAATCCTAAAGAGCTGCAAAAGCTGCACTTTTCTCTCACCACCAATATTATCCTACAATGCTATTTTTGACACAACTGATAACATACTGGACATTATTTTATATTTGAAAGTCTTAAAAAGATTTGCAAAGAATATACTTTAACTGCCTCTGAACACAAATCTAAATGAATTGTGATCTAAATTAGCACTTTGCTTTTTTGTTAGAATCTTGGAAAAGGGTTTTCTAGTTTATACTATATTGTTTTTGATCAAACTGAGCAAAACATCCATGACAAAGTAATACTGCAAAATAATGGGAATGTTTCAAGAAAGTTGAATCTGTGGAAAACAAGAAGCATTTTTGATGTGAAACAATGTGACTTTTTTAAATCTAAAAGATACTTCATGTTCCTCTGTAACCTTTTGTCGTCTTTATGACTGAAATAAATTACAATAGCATATTGCTTCAGAGCAAAGTGGACCAAAAAGATCAATAAATAGGGCAACACACGTTGCAGTTTGCCATTCGTATTGATGTCTATTAAGTTCCTTTCTCTAAAAACATCAAACCAAAACAAACGTTTGCCATTATTTGATTGAATAATGGAAAAAAGAAAATCTTAAAAACTGAAAATGAAAGAAAACAAATGCATGTATTCACAGACATAAGACTCTGTGGTAATGACTCCCCACATTGAAAGCTATGTTACCAGCTTATCGACCTCATCATGGAGATTAATGTTTCAGTGACACTTCGAAGAGTTTGGATGTTACATCTGAACACTGCTGTGTAGTGTGAATGCAGTACCATGATTCGAAACAACTGTCAACGGTTGCAAATCCTTCACAGTAAAAGTGAACTTTCTGGGGGAAAAAAGTACAATACCTAATAAGGGTAGCCACATTTGAAAAAATAACGTGTATTTTCATATGACTGTTTATCAAGGCCCTCTCAGCATGAGCACAGCTGTCCCCTGTGTCGGTCGCAGAGGATTACCAAATGAAGTGTATACACCCACTCGGACATGGACCCAGTGTTGTCATGGTGATGGGAGTGCACAGTGATCCCCTGACGGCCACTAAAGCATCTGTATAAAACAAGTTTTTTTGTGTGTTTTTTTTAGAGATCTGGAATTATCTGCTGCATACTGAGCAGGTACAGTTGTTAGTGCATTAATATTCCCTTTTTAAAAATGGATTAAGGGTTTCTTAGTGATTATTCATACTCGTTGCTTTCAAAGTGCTTTTCCATTGTGAGTGTTACTGATGTGCTTTCACACTAAAATGGGCTGAAGTGTAAAGAGCAAAGGGGGGTGCAGGTACAAAAGGATGATGACAGACCATCACACTCTCATGCAATATGACAGGAATGCTTTTTTCTCAGTGACCAATGATTACTTTATATACTGAAAAAGAACAAAAATTGTTTTCACTGACCTGTTTCAGATCTTGCTGTTTGTTGCATGACTCCTATTTTAACATGAAAGATTACACAGACAATATAAAGGTGCCATTCTTTCTGCTATGAGAGTGGATGACTCTTCTCCACAATAGAAACATAAAAAAATTTCATGGCAATGAAATGAACTAAAATTAAATTTTCCAATCAGAGATTTAAAACCAGACAGTAATATAGGCTATATATATATATATATATATATATATATATATATATATATATATATATATATATATAGATATAGATATAGATTTCTATGTATATCTATAGAAATAGATATACAGATATCTATATACATCCATGTATATATACATAGAGTGTATGAACACATTCAAAGGGAAGTGAGGTAGAGTACAATAC